AAATGTTTAAAAAATATAAATTTAAAAAGTTTAAAAATTTGCATGTGTTAAACACGCTGTTCGATTTAATTGACGAGTGCGTTTAAAACAAGATAACAAAGTATTGTTATAGAATTGCTGTAAATAAAAAAAAATTACGCCGTGTATAAAGTTCCGACACCGGTTCTAGATGTTAAAAGGCAAAAACTCTATTAATCACTTTAGGGCGACTAATAAATGTACACTCTATTGTTTTCATAAGAAATATATTATTCTTATGACTATGACTCTATTTAACCACAGTTAATAGACTTAAACTGGTTTGGAAACACGGAATTTTGCGCAACAAAAACTATATTAATAGAGATAAAATTCTATATTTCTTGTTTAACCAATTATTCTTAATTAATTTTTTGAGAAAAGTTTAAAAAATGATTCAGTTTTTGCTCAATTTTAATGGTTGACCTTCTACTTCTATTTTAAAAATTTAAAGATATAAAAAATAAAAGTCTTTGCAAAAGTTTCATTGCGTATAAAAGTTACGCAACTTTTCTTTCAAATTTATGCTATTCAAATTTTGATTGGATAAATTTGATTTTTAATCGTTGCGTTTTAGATAAAAAAAAGTTTCATCTGAAGTCTTTTTCAAAAAAAACGTTTTAAATACGTAAAACTTCAAAAAAAAAAAAAATTTATCTGATGTCTCTTTCTAAACAAAACGTTTTAAGTAATCAAAATGACAGATTGCTTCAAAATATCGTAACTTCCTTTTTTTTTTTTTTTTTTTAATCGTTACTCAAGCTATCAAGAAGTCTATTCAAGATTTAATTTTTTTTTTTTTCTCGCTTTTCTTTAATGAAGTCAAGAATAAATCTTCTTTTAAAGTGCCAGTCAGTAGAAGTTCAGTAAAATTCTAAAGGTTTAACAACTTTAAAGATAAACAGGCTAAAGGAATACCGCTACCTAAAAGACTTTATAAAAACAAACTGGGTGATCAAATTTTGAAATTTTCTGCTTTACTCTAAAACGCAGTGAATAGCTAGTCAAAAAAAATTCTAGAAGCAGTTAATAAGTATACCTCAAAGTGGTTGAATGATTGTATCATTCTTGCTAGAGTATTTTGGCAAAAGTTAGCTTCAGGACTTCAAAAAAGAGAAAAGTATTATGTGTTTAGTTGATGATGGAATATGATTAGTATTAACTTTCTAATTTAGTTGTTGCAGTTGGAAAGTTTTGGAAAAAATCCATTTAATTTCAACAGTAGATGTATACTTAATTATTTAAACCATATAAAAAATGAAGGTTCACGTAGTTTAAATATATTTTGGAAAATTATTGTTCAATTATTTGTCCAAAAAGTTGAAACAATGAATATTGTTGAAACCAGCTACAAAAACAAATGGATAACAATGGAAGAGCAGCAAACGTTACATCAGGTGTGCAAGATGAGTTCTATTTTAGTTTGATTAAAGTTACAAGGCAGCCCATTTAGCTGTAAACTAGACATTATTGAAGTAGATAAAGATATGTTAAAATGAAAAAAAAGTTCGAAAAATGAGGTTCTTTATTTTAGGGATACAATGTAGGTCATTGTCGCGGAGATCTATTCTGTTTAAATACATGATTGTTGATATAAAAATACAAACCTCCATCTTATGTCTACCAAAAAGCACGCTCATAACCTAGATGTTCTACATGGAAAGTTCCCGCAGCAATCTCTATCACATATGATGACTTTTATAGTTACTTTCCATTTTCAATAGTATATAACAAACTGTATGAATTATTTTCATATATAATGCCTAATTTTTTGTTACTTATAAATCGTAAGGTATATTATTGATAAATTAAACAGAAAAAGATTTCTACTTTTCTACTTTTCTTATATTTAATGATAATAATAATTTCATCTATTTTTAAAAATGCCTTTTTTTTGTCAATATATTAACTTTTATTAAAATCGAAGTAGAAGGCTAAATAATTAAAATGAAAAAAAAATGATTGTGATTTTCAGAATCAGCATGAAAAATTAATTAAGAAAAATTGGTTAAACTATAAAAAATCTAAAAAAAGGTGATTATGGACCCCCCCCCCCTAATATTAAGTTGAAAATGCAACCACGTGACATTGACCGTGCACAACATATAAATATACAATGGCTGTTGAAGGAGGAAACTGTGATAATATATGTGATAATGAATTTATAATGCTTTTGGAAATCTTTGAAAAAGATCACGAACTTGAAAATTATACTGAAACTATTTTAGAAGATGTGAGTACTTTCAAAATTGTAAAGTTTTGTTTGTGTAACTCATAAAAACCTTAAATACTTGTACATGCTTATACTGTATAAGCAACTTACTTACCTAACATACATTAGATTAAACGTTTTTTACTTTGAGTTAAAATTTTGTTTATTTATTGTATTGTATTTAATGTATTAGTTTGATTGGATAATTAATTTAATTTGAAAGATAATATAAATGAATATTGTATCTTTCATACAGTTTTTTAAAATTGTTTTTAGCTTAACCCTGGAATGTACCGATGTGATGTTTGTGTCAAAGTTTATAAAAGTAAAGGCGGACTAAAATTGCACAATTCTAAAAAACACCCTAACAATGATATAGCTACTGGGAATGCTAACAATTCGGAATTAAACTTTAACATCGAGATTTTGTTTTCATTAATGCAAAATGTGTTTTGCAAGATTATGGAAAGCTCCTTTTATGGCAAACAAAATATTGAGCAAGTTAAAACTCTTCAGATTAATTTAGTAAAAGATGAGATTCAGTTTAATAGAACTATTGAAAGCTGCACTAAAATTTGTTCTAAAAGTTTAAACAAGTTTTATGCAAGTTATTTTGGAAACGTAGTAATCCATAGTAAGAAAATTTTAAATTGTGGTGATGATTATGAAGATCAGCGCCGTACTATCGCAAGTGCAACAAGTGCAATCGCACTGGGCCCCCTATTAAATACATTAGAAAAACTTCTCCAATACCATAAATTACTACGAATTGAAAGAAGAAAATTTTTTTTTTTAGTTTCTGCACAGGGCCCCTAAAAGTTACAGCACGGCGCTGATGAAGATGCTGCTACATTAGTATTAAGTAAACTTGCAGATAGTATATCAGCTTATTATAAAAAAAATATATCCATTGTTAATAACAATCAGACATTAATTACACCTATAATATGTGATAAGCAAAAGTATGCATTGCAATATCTTGGAGGTTATGTTATTCATAAAATTTAAAAAAAAAATTCAAAATTCTCGAACTAATAATACTCAACTACAACAAACAGTGTCTATATTAAAAAGCTGTCGAAATGAAACAAAAAATATAACTGACCAAAAGCTTGTCAACACTCTTAATCGTGGTAGACTTACTGCCATTACAATTGAGTTTGAACAAATTTTATTTATAGCAGAAAAAATATTTCTTTTATATACAGAACAGTCCAAGCTTACTAAAAATATAGACATAGATTTTTTGATTAAAAAAACACTCTGTGATAAAGATTTGGAAGAATATTACAGGGTTATTATTGAAAAATGTGATTTGAAAATTGAAAAAGATAGTCAAAAATCTACTTTGCCTTTAATGCTAGCTTTATATTTTCAAGTTCGATGTCATTCGTTTGCTAAGGACATTGTTAATAAGCATAAAGCAAAAAAAACAAAAACAGAAGAACAATCAAAGAAAGGATTACGCAAAAACATGAAACAATCATATAGACTAAAAGAAAACCTAAAAAAAACATAAATGTTTTTCGTTTTTTCTATTCTAAAAAAAGTTTATTTTACAAAAGTAAAAATCGACTTTATATATTTGCAGTCAAAGAAAAGACTTGTATTATTTGCTCATTTATATTCCTTTTATCTTTTTATTGTTGTATAATTTTATATATATATATATATATATATATATATATATATATATATATATATATATATATATATATATATATATATATATTATATATATATATATACACATATTTATATATATACACACACATATATATATATATATACACATATTTATATATATATATAAATATATATATATATATATATATATATATATATATATATATATATATATATATATATATATATATATATATATATATATATATATATATATATATATACACTTTAGTTTTGTTTACAAGTTTTGAATATGAAGACTAGTTATAAAATCATGTTTTTTTTTGTTTTTTTTTTGGAATTAAATCTTCAGAGATATTTATCCAAGCTTTTTTTGTTGTCATATGAGCCTCTAGTATTTCCAGTATTAAGCGAAACACTTTTTTGAATGCGTATGGCATTAGCATTATAGCCAAACTGTTTTGCGTCAGGGTTATCTGAATAGCGCCCAATTTTCCTTTGAGCACTAAAATATTCCTCAATTGGATCTTGGCAAAATCTACTTGTAAGAATATAAGGCATACCCTCACTTAGCAGAAACTTTATAACTTCTACTATTGAATTACATGTCATCATTAAGCCTTTATATGTCTAATGCGAAATAAACATTTTCGCTTTAGCCTCATAAGAGTATTGACGACCTGCTTTGTCTACTCTTTTAACAATAGATTTTTTCCAATTTTTAAAATAATCCAAAAAATCATTTAAAAGGAAATTAAACGGAGGATCCTTTTGGTCAGTGTATTAAGGAAAGGTTTCATTCTATGTTCTTCAATTGTTCTAGAATTAAGACAGTCAAAAAACATGTCAATTTTTTCACAAAACCGAGCTGTTTCTGTATGTTCTTCTGTTCCAAATGTTTTTAAGACAGATGATACAGTTTGACTTAAAATTTGAGCAGCTAGTTTGACAGTCATAGCAGAGTAAGAATTTATTTGAATATGCTCATTAGTTAATTTAGGTAAAAGTTTTAAACCATTGTCTAAATCTTCATAATACAATTTAGTTATGTGCTGCCACAATAAATACTTCCCGTCATTCCATAAGTAGCGCGTACATTTTCCAGCACCAGAATTTAATAAAC